TATTATTATTATTATTATTATTATTATTATTATTATTATCACACTGGCCGATTCCCACCAAGGCAGGGTGGCCCGAAAAAGAAAAACTTTCACCATCATTCACTCCATCACTGTCTTGCCAGAAGGGTGCTTTACACTACAGTTTTTAAACTGCAACATTAACACCCCTCCTTCAGAGTGCAGGCACTGTACTTCCCATCTCCAGGACTCAAGTCCGGCCTGCCGGTTTCCCTGAATCCCTTCATAAATGTTACTTTGCTCACACTCCAACAGCACGTCAAGTATTAAAAACCATTCGTCTCCATTCACTCCTATCAAACACGCTCACGCACGCCTGCTGGAAGTCCAAGCCCCTCGCACACAAAACCTCCTTTACCCCCTCCCTCCAACCTTTCCTAGGCCGACCCCTACCCCGCCTTCCTTCCACTACAGACTGATACACTCTTGAAGTCATTCTGTTTCGCTCCATTCTCTCTACATGTCCGAACCACCTCAACAACCCTTCCTCAGCCCTCTGGACAACAGTTTTGGTAATCCCGCACCTCCTCCTAACTTCCAAACTACGAATTCTCTGCATTATATTCACACCACACATTGCCCTCAGACATGACATCTCCACTGCCTCCAGCCTTCTCCTCGCTGCAACATTTATCACCCATGCTTCACACCCATATAAGAGTGTTGGTAAAACTATACTCTCATACATTCCCCTCTTTGCCTCCAAGGACAAAGTTCTTTGTCTCCACAGACTCCTAAGTGCACCACTCACCCTTTTCCCCTCATCAATTCTATGATTCACCTCATCCTTCATAGACCCATCCGCTGACACGTCCACTCCCAAATATCTGAATACATTCACCTCCTCCATACTCTCTCCCTACAATCTGATATCCAATCTTTCGTCACCTAATATTTTTGTTATCCTCATAACCTTACTCTTTCCTGTATTCACTTTTAATTTTCTTCTTTTGCACACCCTACCAAATTCATCCACCAATCTCTGCAACTTCTCTTCAGAATGTCCCAAGAGCACAGTGTCATCAGCAAAGAGCAACTGTGACAACTCCCACTTTGTGTGTGATTCTTTATCTTTTAACTCCACGCCTCTTGTCAAGACCCTCGCATTTACTTCTCTTACAACCCCATCTATAAATATATTAAACAACCACGGTGACATCACACATCCTTATCTAAGGCCAACTTTTACTGGGAAATAATTTCCCTCTTTCCTACATACTCTAACTTGAGCCTCATTATCCTCGTAAAAACTCTTCACTACTTTCAGTAACCTACCTCCTACACCATACACCTGCAACATCTGCCACATTGCCCCCGTATCCACCCTGTCATACGCCTTTTCCAAATCCATAAATGCCACAAAGACCTCTTTAGCTTTATCTAAATACTGTTCACTTATATGTTTCACTGTATTATTATTATTATTATTATTATTATTATTATTATTATTATTATTATTATTATTATTATTATTATTATTATTATTATTATTATTATTATTATTATTATTATCAGAGTCGATGATGCTTTATACTACTAGCAAACCAGCTGCTTTCTTTCTCTCTCTCTAAGTTCTTGAGCTGTTGAAGTCTCTCCTGAGTTTTTTTTTTTTTTTTTTTTTTGGGTGGGGGTTAAATCTCAATATTTCCAAGGCTTGTTTTACATGATTCTTCCGCCGCACTGACACTGAAGAAGCCTTTCCTATGTCGGGGATTTAGAGATGTGTTGAGTATCGTGCTGTAGTCAGTGGTGTAACTCTCGAACCTATGGACATTGATGCTTTGAGAACTTATAGTATGTCACCCAAACTTGAGCATTTTGGATCACTCAAACCTTAGCTGAAGAATTGTTTCAGATATTGTGTTTGACACAGTGTTTATGAGACCAGACAATTTCTTTCACAAAGACGTATAATTGCTTTGCGAAATATTTAAAAAAAAGATAAATTGGCAATAACATTCGTTTTACTTCCACCAAATGACGGAAGGTGTGTGTTGTCTTATTTTTACAGATACGATTTAATCTTAAGCGTTATTCCAACGGATAGGTACAGTGAGAATGAACTTTACCTTTGGTATTTCAGTTTGTTCTTGAAAGAGACTCTTGTTTACTAAAGCCTGGAGGAGAGTAATTGAAGAGGCTTGCAGTAATGTCTTTCATTGTTCTCTGCTCCAGAATACGATTATGGATAACTAGTTGAAGTGCAGATAGAAAGCATGGCAGACTGTTGAATCCCGTCTCTATGATGCCTTTAACAACTTTCCCACCATTATTCTGTGCTGTCAAATGAATTTTTTAAGCTGGTATGTTTAATTCATGTATCTCTTCTTAAATAAACTCGGTCATGTGTGCTGCTGTCTGGGATCTAGGAGAAACATACTTTAATGGACATCAATTTTATTAATAATTTTTTTACTGAGTCATAGCTGTCATTGTGTACTGCACTTGCCTGTATGTACTTACGTATATCTGGGTTCAGGGCTTGAGCTTCAGCTCCTGGCCCTGCCTCTTGCTGTTTACCAGATTCCCTGCCTCGTGAGCCGTGACGTACCTGCTTTTAAAAAACATGTATGGGGTCTGCATCCACCACATCTTCATCAAGTCGTTCGATTTCCTAACCACCCTAATAATGCATCCACGAACAAGTGGTTTTTAAGCAAATAACCGCACTGGCAGAGCCTCGAACCCTCGAGGCTGCCCTTGTAGCTTGTCTAGATGTCTGTTGTATGCGACACTGGTGGTCCAGTGGATTAGGGCATCTCGAATTTTAACAGGCTACGAGGGTGGTGTGTTGAAGCTCCAGGGTTTAGTATTATTATTTACTCCTGGGAGAACGTTAAGTTTTCCCTGGGGTACGTTTATTCTCTTCTCTGAGGATGAGGGTCCCCAATCCAGTTCAAGAAGTGATACCTCCGTATATATATATATATATATATATATATATATATATATATATATATATATATATATATATATATATATATATATATATATATATTGTATATTATATATATATATATATATATATATATATATATATATATATATATATATATATATATATATATATATATATATATATATATATATATATATATATATATATATATATATATATATCAGCCCTTCAGTCTTGGAATATGTGTTGAGTACCGTAGTTTTGATGAATGTGAAACAGGCAGCAAGATGTGGGCTTATATACTGGAGGCAGATTAGAAGATATCGTCATTCATAGGTGGGATTCCCCAGTGGAAATAGGTCGTGTCCCAGGAGGTGGGGCCAGCGGTACTAAGTATCTGTGAAGATGTCCCTTGTACCTAGATTCCATAAATCATCTGACTCCAGTGTTGCTGCCTGTGTGTTCTTAAGATTCATCAAGAATGCGTGACTGAACTCCTGCTCCTAGGGTCAGGGACTGATCGCCTCATTTTCTACCTCAACATTCTTCTGTATTGTACTGATAAAGCTGCATGTGAAACATCTACGGAATCAAGATACCCAGATGTTGCACATGTGTCTACTTCATCATGTCGTCGGTATAATATACTAGTAATATAGTCGCATAAGTGTTCGCAATAAAGCTATCATAATTCTTGGCTTCATATCAAGCAGCATAAATAATAGGAGTCCTCAGGTTGTTCTTCAACTCTATATATCCTTGGTTAGGCCTCATTTAGATTATCCTGCACAGTTTTGGTCACAGTATTACAGAATGGATATAAATGGTTTGGAAAACGTACAGAGGAGGATGACAAAGTTGATCCCGTGTATCAGAAATCTTCCCTATGAGGATAGACTAAGGGCCCTGAATCTGCACTCTCTAGAAAGACGTAGAATTAGGGATGATATGATCGAGGTGTATAAACTGAAGATAAGAATAAATAAAGGGGATGCAAATAGCGTGCTGAAAATTTCCAGCCAAGACAGGACTCGCAGCAATGGTTTCAAGTTGGAAAAATTCAGATTCAGGAAGGATATAGGAAAGTACTGGTTTGGTAATAGAGTTGTGGATGAGTGGAACAAACTCCCGAGTACAGTTATGCAGGCTATAACGTTGTGTAGTTTTAAAAATAGGTTAGATAAATACATGAGTGGGTGTGGGTGGGTGTGAGTTGGACCTGACTAGCTTGTGCTACTAGGTCAGTTGCCTTGTTCCTTCCTTAAGTGAATGTGACCTGACCTGACTAGGTTTAGGCATTGGCTTAAGCCGGTAGGAGACTTGGACCTGCCTCGCATGGGCCAGTAGGCCTTCTGCAGTGTTCCTTCTTTCTTATGTTCTTATCACGCCAGAACAGATAATACCCTGTCGCCCAGCCCAACTAGGCGTTTTTATTTTCCAGAGCAGCGGCAGAACAAGAGAAATATTTACAAACATTGAACTCAGGTGAGAGGAGATTGTGGTGATGATGGTGACAGGAAGGCGGAAATAGTGAAGATGATGATAGGAAGGTTGAAGTGGTGATGGTGACGAAGACATGAAAGGTGAGATGATGGTGGTGATGAAGATAACAGAAAGGTGAAGAAAGAGACCTGAAGAAATGCATGTTAGGTCAGGTGTTATTGTTCGTGGGTTGTGTCACTGCTAGGTCAGTGTAGCGTGGGTTGTAACACTGCTAGGTCAGCGTAGCGCGGGTTGCGTCACTGCTAGGTCAGTGTAGCGTGGGTTGCGTCACTGCTAGGTCAGCGTAGCGCGGGTTGCGTCACTGCTAGGTCAGCATAGCGTGGGTTACGTCACTGCTAGGTCAGAGTAGCATGGCTTGCGTCACTGCTAGGTCAGCGTAGCGTGGGTTGCGTCACTGCTAGGTCAGCGTAGCGTGGGTTGCGTCACTGCTAGGTCAGAGTAGCATGGCTTGCGTCACTGCTAGGTCAGCGTAGCGTGGGTTGCGTCACTGCTAGGTCAGCGTAGTGTGGGTTGCGTCACTGCTAGGTCAGGGTAGCCGGTGTAGAGGGTGATGGTGCCAGTGTTCAGTGTGCCGCGGGCA